GTGAGCCACAGATGGGTCACCGGGTGTGGCACAGACAGGTCACCAAGTGAGGCATAGACAGGTCATGGGGTGAAACACAGACAGGCCACCAGGTGAAGCACAGACAGGTCACGAAGTGAGACATAGACAGGTCATGGGTGAAACACAGACAGGTCACCAGGTGAAGCACAGACAGGTCACCAAGTGAGACATAGACATGTCATGGGGTGAGGCAAAGACAGGTCATAGGGTGAAACACAGACAGGTCATGGGGTGAAACACAGACAGGTCTTGGGGTGAAGCACAGACAGGTCACCAAGTGAGGCATAGACAGGTCATGGGGTGAAACACAGACAGGTCAATTCAATTCAGTTTATTTATATAGCGCCAAATCACAACAAAGTTGTCTCAGGGCACTTTACAGAAACATTCACATAAAAGCCAATTAGTCAAGTTTTCTATCTAAGGAATTCAGCAGACAAGTTGAATCTTGGCTTCGTTGCAGTCTCCCATCCTGAGTAAGGTCATGGGGTGAGGTACAGACAGGTCATCTGGTGAAACACAGACAGGTCTCCGGGTTAGGCTTCTGCTCAGAATCCTCCATCATTTAAACGTTTCTTTTAAATAGTCTTTGTGTCTCTGTAGATTACCTGTACAAACTGGTGAAATTATCTCGCATTAGAAGAAAGTTAATGTTAATGAAACGTTTCGCCCTCCATCCGAAGGACTTCATCAGTCTGAGGATTCAATTCAATTCAGTTTATTTATATAGCGCCAAATCACAACAAAGTTGTCTCGGGGCACTTTACAGGAACATTCACATAAAAGCCAACTAATAAAGTTCTCTATCTAAGGAATCCACCAGATAAGTTGAATCTTGGCTTCGTTGCAGTCTCCCATCCTGAGTAAGCACAGTGGCAACAGTGGAAAGGAAAAACTCCCTTTAACAGGAAGAAACCTCCAGCAGAACCAGGCTCAGGACAAGCGGCCATCTGCTTTGACAGGCTGGTTGAGAGGACAGGAAGGAGAGACAGACAAACACAGAATGTTAGGTCCAGATATAAGTCCAGGTGTATCTGAAAGACAAAAAAAAATAATCACATGTTAAGGATATAAAAAATAATTACAAATACAAAATGGGTTGAGCAGAGTAAGTAAAGACAGTAGCAGAGTGAAAAGTGTGGTCAGTTTTTCCTCCAGCAGTCTAAGCCTATAGCAGCATAACAAAAGGACAGCTCAGGAAAGCCAAGCCAACCCTAACTATAGGATTTTGCAAAGAGGAAAATCTTAAGCCTAGTTTTAAAACTGGATAATGTGTCAGCCTCACGGACAGAGATTGGAAGTTGGTTACACATAAGAGGAGCCTGATAACTGAAGGATCTGCCTCCCATTCTGTTTTTGTAAATTCTAGGAACCACAAGTAAACCTGCAGTCTGAGAGCGATGTGCTCTGTTAGGAAAATATGGAACAATAAGATCTGTAATATAAAGGTGCATTCACACCAGCCCTCTTGTCTTGAACTCTAGCTCGTTTTCCTAGGAAATCCGGTTTGTTTGGGGAGATGTGAACGCGCCATTGAACTCTATCACAGAACAAAACGGCGAACTCTGGCCCGGTCTAAAACCTAGGTCTCGGTCCAGTAGAAGAAAACTCCAGCACGGTTCGAGTACAGTGTGAATGTAATCAGACCGAGCCCCGCTCCACAAGCAAGAAGTGGAGTACAGCGCAGGGCAAACAAACACGCATTTCTCTTACCTCATATGGAGCCGTCAGCTGCCTTGTGTGAAAAACAATATTCTCCATGGTCTTCTGCCTCATCTTCCACTCATGCTGAGTCCATTGTTGAAAAATGACAAAATATAACTCCTAAAACTGATAAAAATTGATGCCACTCCGTTTTTATTTTTATTTCCAGAAGAAGTTTCTTCAGAGGTTGTTGTGTCGTTTCTTTCAGTAGTTCTTGGCGCAGCGCCACCACAGGTAAGTGGGGGAACAGGTTGGTTCAACAGGTTAGCTCGACTGCACAGTGCAGTGTGAATGCAAACGCACCAGCTCAAATGTAAACAAAATGTCATGAATATTGGTCCACAACCGAACCGAGTCTACCGGACTATCAGGTATGAAAACAACCTAAGATGGAGCCAGGTTGTTGAGCTTTGTAGGTTAGAAGTAAGATTTTGAATTCTATTCTGGATTTGACAGGGAGCCAATGGAGAGAAACTAAAACTGGAGCGATATGATCTCTCTTACTAACTCCAGTTAAGACTGTGGGAGCAGCATTTTGGATCAACTGAAGACATTTTAAAGAAGTATTTGGACACCCTGATAATAAACCATTGCAATAGTCCTGTATAGATGTGACAAATGCATGGACCAGTTTTTCTGCATCATTTTTAGATCAGATGTTTCTAATTATAGTGATATTACGCAGGTGGAAGAAGGCAGTTCTAGTAACGTTTTTAAATGTGGGGGATAAAAGACATGTCCTGATCAAAAATAACACCAAGATTTTTAACATTAGAGCTGGAGGACAGATTAATGCCATCTAAGGAGGGAGGAAAAACTGAAAAATTCATTTTTAAGGTGCTCAGGTCCAAAAACCAAAACCTCAGTCTTGTCTGTGTTCAACAGGAGAAAATTAAGGGTCATCCAGGTTTTTATGTCTTTAAGACATGCTTGTAGTCTAAGTAGCTGATTGCATTCATTGGGTTTAATGGACAAATATAATTATGTGTCATCAGCATAACAATGAAAATGTATCCCATGCTGTTTAATAACTTTACCTAATGGAAGCATATATAAAGTAAAGAGTATTGGCCCAAGCACTGAGCCCTGAGGAACTCCATGACTAACTTTGGTGTATGAAGAAGATTTATTATTTACATTTACAAACTGGAATCTATCAGAGAGATATGATTTAAACCATTTTAGAGCTGTTCCTGTAATCCCAATATCATATTCAAGCCTCTAGTAAAATATTGTGATCAACTGTATCAAATGCAGCACTGAGGTCTAACAGGACCAGTATAGACACAAGTCCATTGTCTGAGGACATGAGAATATCATTAGTTACTTTTACTAGTGCTTTTTCTGTGCTATGATGAGCTCTAAACCCTGACTCAAACTCTTCAAACAGTTTATTTCTTTGTAGATGTTCACACAACTGACCTGCAACTATTTTCTCTAGAATTTTTGAGATGAAAGTTAGATTAGATATAGGTCTATAGTTGGCCAGAATTTCTGAATCAAGGTCAGACTTTTTAAGTAAAGGTTTAATTACAGCAACCTTAAAGCGCTGTGGTACGTAACCATTCATTAAAGACAAATTAAGTAGATCCAAAATGTGGACATTAATTAGGGGAAATACCTCTTTAAACAGTGTGGTTGGGATGGGATCTAGCAGACATGTGGATGGTTTGGATGAGCTTATTTTTGACAATTCAGAGAGCTCAACAGGACAAAAACGTTGGTTACGTACTGTAACCCCAGATTCTATGAGTATAGGCATAGCCCTTTAAGGCCATTTGCTAGTGGGTTAAAAGGCAAAGCAGAATGTAGTCTATGCCTCACTGGGTCCGTTCAGACACCATATGAAGTGCCCGCTTGCACCAAAAAACATTTCATCACTCAGCCCTCCATCTGTGTAATTACGTGCACCATGCACAGACGCACGCTGCATTATTTACGCGTTCTGTGTACATGGGCGCCCCGGGGAGAAAAGTTTTCAATGGGGAAGAGGGGAGAGGCTGAAAACATTGAACGGAGCAGATCAACAGCTCTTCGATATGAACAGGTTAATAATAAATGAACTGATTAGTAATCAAATGAACTGATTGGTAACAGTAGTCATGAACTCATTAGTAACATTAGAACAAGACCAACAGTCACAAACTTGTGACTGATAATAAATATCTCACACTGTGATTGCATGCAGTCAGATGTGAGTTTAAACGAAATTCCATGAAAACAGTAAGATTCATTTTGTTAAGGCGCTGAGAACAGAATGTGCCATGGAACGAGCCGACATATCACGCAGATAGAAGCGAATAAATGAGCAAGGCTATGACCACCCGGCCGCAGTGCAAATATCCTGCATTGTCATACCATTATGCAAGGCTGTTGAAACGATTCCCCTGGTCGAGTGCACCCTGAGGTTATCAGGGGGCTCTAAACCTGATGCTCTGTAAGCTTCAGAAATGGCCTCACACAGCCATTGTGACAGGCGCTGGGTGGATAACGGGCAACCTGCAGAGGCATCTCTATAATGCACAAACAAATGTTGAGTCTGACGCAGTGTGGCCGTGCGTGTTACGTAACATGCCAACGCACGCACAGGGCAGAGGAGATGAAAAGATGCTTCTTCTTCTGATTTGTGGGGAGGGGGGAAAAAACCCTCCAACGTTATCATTCTCGATTTAAATGAGCTTGTGATGTTTTTAGGCATGAACGCTGGGTTAGGTCTCAGATCAGCTGAGCTGCCATCAGCTTGAATCCTGAGGCATGACGGAGCAACAGAGGGCAGATAAATCACTCACTCTCTTCGCGGATGTCAAAGCCAACAGCAGGGCTGTTTTAAGTGACAAGAATTTAATCGAAACCTGATCTAACAGCTCGAAAGGAGCTTTGATCAGGGCTTGCAGAACCATCGTTAAGTCCCACTGTGGAGCTAGTGGACGTGACACCGGTCTGTGCCTCCGTACACCTTTTAGAAAATGCTTCGTCAGCGGGTGATTGAAAACTGTTCTGTCACCAAAGCCTTTGTGACAGGAAGAGATGGCTGCAGCATATGTTTTAATTGTGCTGAACGCCAGATTTCTGTCCATCAGCTGCTGTAGAAAGTACAGCACGCCACCTAGTAGACATGAGATGGCCTCCACACCTTTCTTCGTACACCAGCGTTGAAAAGCTGTCCACTTTGATGTGTACTGCGCTGTGATGGAGGCAGCACGTGAATCCTGGATTGTGCGCACTACTTCTTGAGAGAGACCCATCTTCTCTAAGCAGATCCGCTCAGCGGCCAG